TGCGTCCCTGGCGCGAGGTTTTCCGCCATTTTGAGTGTGGCCATAGATTGTTCTCGGTACTCTGTCCTCGGATTTTGTAAGTTGAAAGTTGAGACTAGGAAGGCATATTACAAGAACTACAAACAGAGTTTCAATGAGGCAACATTGAGGAGTTCTGCTCCTTCCTCTTCCCCCTCCAAAGCCCCTGAACTCTCGTACCGCCCCCGCATCATGGTCCCCTTAGTTAGTGTGGTCTGGCCGCGCACCCCGCCCATTGACCCGGAACTCTTCTCTGCCTGGTCTCAGGTCACAAGCCTCCGCTTCCGCGCCTGCGCGCAAAGGCGACTCGGATGCCGGCGGTCTCTGCTGAAGAGAGAAGATGGCGCTTGACGGGCCAGAGCAGGTATGGCGGCTGCAGTGGCGGCCCAGCAGGTTACGGGGCTGGGTGCGGAGCGAGCGTGATCTAAGTGGAGAGCGGGCCGGGGCAGGAGGGTCGGGTGGGTCGGAGGTGGCTGGACTAGTCCAGGCTGGACGCTGCCTGCGACTGGATCTGCTGTGTCAGCGCCGCCCTCGGTGAGTCAGGGCAAGGCTGGGAGAGGAATACGCGGTAGAAGCGGAGTGAGTGAGGGGAGCGATGGGCGCGGGAACGGCCGGCCCACGGGTCGCAGGAGACGGGACGCCAGTCCTTCGGCTCCGTTCCGCTTGCTCCGTCGGCAGTAACGACCCCTCGGGCTTGTAGAGCGCTTCACGCAGTGCAAAGCGCCCCCATGTATATCATATCGCCTCTCGGTCCTCCTAAAAGTCGTACAAGGTAGGCGGCGTTCCCATTTTTTTATTTTAGTCGTGGGAAAGTGGAGGGTTCCAAGGGAGGGAGGGATTAGAACCCAGATGCTGAGCCTCCGAAGTCCAAACTTTTTTTACTACGCAAAGCTACCTGGTGTCAAACCTTATTCAAAGTGCCCTGCAAGTGGCTTTATCCCCTCGGATGTTGAACCTGTCGTTTAAGACTCACTCTGTGTCTTCAGATGGAACTGGAGGAGGGGAAGGCAGGCAGCGGACTCCGCCAATATTATCTGTCCAAGATTGAAGAACTCCAGGTAAGGACGGACTTCAGAGGGAGCTAGGAAGGGGGATGATGGGGGATGGAAACGGACTTCCACAAATCCATCTAATTCCACTGGGAGTGCAGTGGAAGAAGCTGCTGCTTCTCCTTTCTTGTTTGTTTCTTAGCTAGTAGGGTGTGTGTATGAGAGGTAAGCAATCTCTTGTTCTCCTCCAGTCCCACCCCTTTAAGGGTTATAGTGTTCACAGTTTGCTACACATCTTCAAGAGTCAAATCTTAACAGAAAAGGGACCTCTAGCCAAAGGTCAACCCTTTTGGAAGAAGCCCGAATGAAAAGGATTCTTATGAAAGGGAAACAAGCTCAGGAGATGAAATTTATCACCAAGAGGTTGGGTGAGGGTGAAGTGAGAATGTGAGGAAAGGCATCATTGAGGCATCTGGATAATGCTAATTCCATAGAGACTGAATGAAAGAAATTGGGCAACCCAGAACGCTAGCCTAAAGCGCTAAACCATAGAAAAAGGACCGTTTATGTTGTTAATGAAATGTTTATGTTTACCAGTAAGGCTTCCAGCAGTAAGGTGTGACTCTCAGTAGTAGGTATGGCTTCCAGTAGTAAGCGTTACCAACAACATAAACAGTAGGCTGTTAGTGTTAACAGTGTTATGTTACCATAGGCTGTTAGCAGTTTAACTTTGGACAAGTCCATGGATTTTCAATTTCGCCCTAATCCCCTGCGTTGTTCAAGTGTCATCTGTAATATAAATTGGATGGGGGAAAGCCACAAAGAACAATTCTGAATTCCAAGTGCATTTGCAGGTATTATGTTTAGTTTACCATTTTTGAATGCTTTTTCATGTGTTTTTATTCGTTCACTTCAGTAGTCCTGAAAAGGAGCAGGGCAGCTGATGCTATACCCATGTGCCGTTTGGTAACAGATCTAGATTTTTAAAAATAGATTGCCTGAGCTTTACCTTGCTTTTGATTGACAGCAGCTGGGCTAGAATGCAGATTTCTCACCTAACAATCTTTCCACTAGGTGATGTTGCCTTCCTGTGAGAAATTTGGTGTTACATGAGCCAGCTGTAACTTTTCTCCATTAGATTCTGTTATTCCTGGACCAGTATTGGACAAGCAGCCTTCTTTGATGGCTGCCATAAGCTCCAGAGGGACTCTTGGAGGACAGGGCAGGGTCATTAGAATCATACTGGAGAATCTGAAACAACACACAGGTGCCCTGTGCCCTTCCCTCAGCTCATTCTGACCTGTGAGGTCTTGGGCAAGATCCTACCTCCTCCTGTCTCCTGCCCTTGAGTAATGGAATTTGTCTCTTGTCTGCCACAGCTGATTGTGAATGATAAGAGCCAAAACCTCCGGAGGCTGCAGGCACAGAGGAATGAACTAAATGCTAAAGGTGAGTGGAGAAAGATGGGAAGCCGCATGTGGGCAGTTTGTCTGAGGTCTGTCCTAACCTCCCTGCACAGTGTCTTCACAGCAGTGCTTACTGTTTTCTCCCTGTCATCTAGTAGTTTCACATGCATCTCTCTTTCCCGATTCCCATTGTAGCCTCCTTAAATACATGAATTTTTATCTTTGGTCTTCCTTTAATAACTTAAGAATGATGCTTAGCTCATGCATGTAGAATTGGGTCCTGGAGACTCCAAAGGAGTAGCTAGGTGACCACTGTGTCTGTTTGCCATCTAGTTCGCCTATTGCGGGAGGAGCTACAGCTGCTGCAGGAACAGGGCTCCTATGTGGGGGAAGTAGTCCGGGCTATGGATAAGAAGAAAGTGTTGGTCAAGGTAAAAGCAGCATGACCCCAGGGACCAACCAGCTCAGTCTGCACTGGATTCCCACCCCTTTGTGTGTAGCCTTGGGAGACAGGGTTCTGTGTTCTGTCAAGGTATTGTGGGATTCTCGAAGGTCTTTCTGGGTAGGGTTAGTGATTTGGTGGCTGTCAAGGAAGATCATGAGCTCTTCTTTCTTTAGGTACATCCTGAAGGCAAATTTGTTGTAGACGTGGACAAAAACATTGACATCAATGACGTGAGTGTAGCAGGTGAGGTGGTGGTGGGGTCAGCTCTTATTTCTTACTGTACCGCTTCTGAAACTCGCCCCCTTCACCCAGGTGACACCCAATTGCCGGGTGGCTCTAAGGAATGACAGCTACACTCTGCACAAGATCCTGCCCAACAAGGTAGACCCATTAGTGTCACTGATGATGGTAGAGAAAGTACCAGATTCGACTTATGAGATGATTGGTGGACTGGACAAACAGATCAAGGAGATCAAAGAAGTGATCGAGCTGCCTGTTAAGCATCCTGAGCTCTTCGAAGCACTGGGCATTGCTCAGCCCAAGGTGAGGAGCAGGGCTTCTCCAGGAGGGCCAAGCTGTACTTTACTACTCCTGCCCCAGCCAGCCCTACTGCAGGGGTCGGGGAGGCACCAGGATAGGCTGCATCCTTCTTGGGCTGGCCCTCCCCCTGAAGAGTGGCGGGGGAAGTGTTCTAGGGCAGTGAGGTGGGTTTTCGATATAAGCTCCAGAACAGCTCCTTGATGTTCTTTTTTTTTTTTTTTTTTTTTGGTATCCCTAACATCTAGCAAGGGATCCAGCACTCAGCACTCGGTAAATGTTCACTGAATGAGATGAGGGGTGTAGCTTTCTGTCCTGAGTGCTGCTGTTCCCCTGTAGGGAGTGCTGCTGTATGGACCTCCAGGCACTGGGAAGACGCTGTTGGCCCGGGCTGTGGCTCATCATACGGACTGTACCTTTATTCGTGTCTCTGGCTCTGAATTGGTACAGAAATTCATAGGGGAAGGTAACCATGGCCAGTAATGTGAGAAGCAAGAGGTGTAGGGGGTTAGGGAGCTAATAAGCTCCCTAACACCAGCTCGGCCTCCACACAGGGGCAAGAATGGTGAGGGAGTTGTTTGTCATGGCACGGGAACATGCTCCATCTATCATCTTCATGGACGAAATCGACTCCATCGGCTCCTCGCGGCTGGAGGGGGGTTCTGGGGGGGACAGTGAAGTGCAGCGCACAATGCTAGAGTTGCTCAACCAGCTGGATGGCTTTGAGGCCACCAAGAACATCAAGGTAAGGTGGTAGCAGCCTTGGGATGGGCCCAGGGAAGGCCTGGGTGCCACGCAGGTTGAGGAAGAGCTTAGCTGATCCTCACCCGCTTTCTCTGCTTAGGTTATCATGGCTACTAATAGGATTGATATCCTGGACTCGGCGCTGCTTCGCCCAGGACGTATTGACAGAAAAATTGAATTCCCACCCCCCAACGAGGAGGTTTGTGATGGGCGCTGTGCAAAGTGGCTCTGGCAGTGGGGGTAGGGGTGGGGTGTGGGGCTCAGGCCTTTCCTTGCCATCTCCAGGCCCGGCTGGACATTTTGAAGATTCATTCTCGGAAGATGAACCTGACCCGCGGCATCAACCTGAGAAAAATTGCTGAGCTCATGCCAGGAGCATCAGGGGCTGAAGTGAAGGTAATTGGAGTACCCACCAAAAACAGGGCAGAGGCAGGAAGCTCTGGGCTCAAGGGCCACAGATGAGGGGCACAGCAGTGGGGCCTCAACTTCCTTTTCCTGTTCAGGGCGTGTGCACAGAAGCCGGCATGTATGCCCTGCGAGAACGGCGAGTCCATGTCACTCAGGAGGACTTTGAGATGGCAGTAGCCAAGGTATAGGCCTCCATCTTTGTGCCTTTGCTGATGGTGGCTCTGGGGGCAGTGGGCTAGGGCATGCTTGCGTTCGTAACTTAACATTCATTTTCTCCCCCACCCTTAGGTCATGCAGAAGGACAGTGAGAAAAACATGTCCATCAAGAAATTATGGAAGTGAGTGGACAGCCTTTGTGTGGATCCCTCCAATAAAGCTCTGTGGGCCAAGTCCTCTAGGACTCCAGTCTGTTAATGAGGGCTGTGCTGTTCAAGGATCAGGTCCAGACACCACCAATAGATAAAAGGATTTATTTGGATCCCAGTGCCAGAAGTGGCACTCGCCAAGCCCTAGGCCCACCCTCCTCACCAAGCTCCAAAGGGCGACACCAGTCCTCCCAGCCTCCCCATTCACCTTACCCTGGCCTCCACATGCGCCCACCCATACCTCAGGCCATGCTAGAGAACTGGAGTGTCCCCTCCCCGGCCCAAGCCGCTGGAGAGGCAGCCCTCTGGCATCCCAGGAGATGATGGCGGCCAGAGCCGCTTGCATAGATTGAGGAAAGAAAACAAGGAGGCACCTAACAGGGCTCCCTGAAAACCCCCAACTTACCCCTGTACAAAAAAAGTGGCTCCCACATAGAAAACTTGCTCCCAAAATAGTGCAAATACCCAAAGGAAAGAAAAAAACCAGCAGCAAGGCTGGGCTTGTAGGAATGGCAAAGAACTTTGGTTTAGAAAGGCTAGGAAGTCTGAGCTGCATCTCCTCTTCTAGCCCAGCTCCCCACAGCCAGCTCTGACCCTCGCCCAAGAGGGGAGTCTGTAAACATGCAAACCCAGCAGCCTTTGGTTCGGAAATGTCTGTTAAAATGTCAAAGCACAGCCTCCAGCAGTCCTACTTGGGCCTGCCTGCAGGGGGGGCACAGGAGGCTTCTGCTGAACCCAATTAAAGCCAATGCAAAAAGTATAAGGCTTTGGGGACCAAGCAACAAGGAATCCTATCACTACATGTATAAAACTAAAGCTGGGGAGTAGAGAGTGACAGCAGACACTCCTCACCCCAGCCTACGTGTCTGCGGCCCCAGCAAGGACCCAGAGGGTGGTCTCCCTCCAGGCTCCAGGGCTGGGAAGAAAGAGATCCCTGAGCAGTTAGGTCAGGCGAATTCCCAGCACCTGTTCCAGTTCTTGCCTTCGCTGCTGCACCTGGAGAAGGGAGAGACCAAGTAGCTCAGGCCTTTACCACTCGGGGCCAAAGGAGGGAAAATAGGGCAGAGCCTCACCTTGGCAAAGATGTGCCTGCCTACTGCTTCCTGGGCCCAGGGCTGGTGGTAGAAAGCAGCTCGTCTCTCCTCCTCAGGATTTCCAATCACATCAGTGATGATCTGCAAAGAGCCAGAAGGAAAGCCATAGCATAATCCCCAGCCCTGGGCCGACCCACCCTGGGAACTGCTGTGGGTAAAAATCACCCAGAGCTTTACAAAGGAATCCCCTCAGGAAAGAGGACTACACCTTGAGGTCTCGGCGCTGGGAACGGAGCCATTCCTGGATGAAGTCCTGGGGGTCGGTGCTAAAACTGAGCATGAAATCTCTCTGGGTCTTCAGCTGGTTGATGGACTCGATGGTCTCATGGATCTGGAGAGGGTACATGTGTCAGACTCTGCCCCCAAAGCTTAAATGCAAATGACTGAGCCAGAGTTCCCATCCCATCCCCTAGGTGCTACATGTATGGAAATGCTGGACAGATCCAGCCCACTCCAATCCTGGGCCCCAGAGGAAGCTGTGGAGCCAGAGGGCCCACCTTGACATCAAGGGAAGCGATCTCCTGCTGATTGGTGGTAGAGGCCAGAAAATTGCTCATCTGGGCCTTCAGTGGGTCGTCCACCTCCACATCAATGTCGTAACAAGCTGTCTTCTTCTGGTCGTTAGGGTCCACACTGCAGGCAGCACATGGGGAGGGAAGGCACATCCTGTCTTCATCCTGCCCACCTGGGCCAAAGCTAGGGCCCATTCTCTGCACATACTCAGGGAGCAAGAAACCTGATGCTCTCTTTGGCTTCAGTTCAAGCCAAGGGTGAATCTGCTATTAAAAGAGCCTTCCTGTCCCCCTCCTTGCATTTACCTAATGACATGGTTGATGACAATGGGGTCTGGATGCTGCAGCAACCCCGCCAGCTTCATGGGAATCTCAGAGAAACGGAGTCGGCCACAACTGAAGATCTGGAGGAAATACCAAAGGCTCAGCGTTGCCTTGTGGGCACAGGGGAGTGGACCATTCCAGGATCAGTGAGGGCAGCAGTCTGGAGGCTGTGGCCAAGAAGTAGCCCAGCAGGGAAGGCAAGGGCTGAGAGAACAGGGGGGCTGGCATCTGGCTAACCTGGCGGAAGTAACGGTTGCAGTTGATGTATTCCCGTTCATGCCCATCCTGCAGCTGGTTGTGCTTGATGTAAAGCCACAGGGCCTGCATGATGGCGGCCCTCGTCTGTGTGTGCACTCCCAGCAGCCTTGCCAATCGGGGGTCCAATTTGTACTGGGGAGGCTGGAGTTGGATGGAGGGGAGTCAGGATGGGTTCTTGCAGTAAAACAAAGCGGGAAAATAGGGCAGGGACAGGAAGGTTTATAGAACCAACTCCCCTCCTGAGGGGTCCCTATGGCCCCAGAAATGACCCCAGGGCCTCTGTCACCTGATGATCCAGCATGAGCAGGAGGGTGCACTTGACGTTGAGGTCTCCAGGCCGTTTTACCTGGAAGCCATCTGTCTCCTGGGTGGTGGGCATCCGGTGCCACTGGCAGGGAGGGGAACATGGCTTATCACCAAGCGGGTGGGCATGAACACAGGGCCTCCCAAGGGCCCTGAGGCCATTTCCCTGCCAAACCTGCATGTCAGCCTGCCTCTGCCCCAGGCCCACTCTCACCTCCACCAGGTGATTGTCAGGCCCATACAGCTCCTTGTCCAGCTCAATGACGAGGCTCTTAAAGAATGAAGAAAACTTCCTCTTCTGTTTGCTAGGCTGGAGATGGAAAGGGGTGTGAGATGGTGCTGCTGAGCTCTCAAATCTCAAGCTATGCTAAATCCCAAGAACAAGAAGCCCTATTTCAGCCCTGGAGCTCAGGGTACTGAAGATTCCTGGGGCCCTGAAGAATGGAAGCAGGACTCTGGGCAGACTGGAGGCAGGGAAATGGCGCCCTCTTGCAGCCCACGAGGGACTTCCTGGAGACACTAGACTGCCATCTGCAGGAACATTGTAATAACCACGCAAATCAACCTCCAGTGGGCTTGGAGCAGTGCCCCCTCTCTATGGCAGGACTTCTCTGGGAGCGCCCAAGTGTCTGGCCCAGTCTTTTTTTTTTTTTTTTTTGAGACGCAATCTCACTCTGTCACCCAGGCTAAAGTGCACTGGTGTGATCATAATTCACTGAAGCTCGACCTCCTGGGCTCAAGCCATCCTCCTGCGTCAGCCTTGCCAGTAGCTGGGACTATAGACGCATGCCACCACACCCAGCTAATTTTTAAATTTTTTGTAGAGACGGGGTCTGGCTCTGCTGCTCAGGCTGGTCTCAAACTCTTTGGTCCCAGTCTTAAACCCACACAGGCCTCCTTCCCTCCAGATACCTCCCTCCCCAACTCACATCATCCAGCAGTTTTCCTTCCACTCGGAGTTCCCAGGAAGCCACCTTGTCCCCTGCTGGGGTTCCCCCAGGGGTCCCTGCAGTTCCTGCACTATCGCCTTCCGCCTTGCTGGGACTGAACGTATTGGAAATGTAGATCCGAAGCTTTCGCTTTTGCTAAAGAGAGAAAGACAATCAACTGGAGGTGGACCAAGACGTTGGGACACTGCTATGCCATCTTCTGATATGAACATTCAACAATCAATACTGAGCACCATGGGCCAGCCAGGCACCTTGTCAGGCACTGGGAATCAGAAGTAGTAAGTCCCAGTCCCAGCCTTTTTTTTTTTTTTAGGACATGGTCTCACTGTCACCCAGGCTGGAGTGCAGTGGCGTGATCTCAGCTCACTTGCAACCTCTGACTCCTGGGTTCAAGCAATTCTCTTGTCTCAGCCTCCTGAGTAGCTGGGACTACAGGTGCACGCCACCATGCCCAGCTAATTTTTTGTGTTTTTAGTAAAGATGGTGTTTCAACATGTTGGCAAGGCTGGTCTCAAACTCCTGACCTCAGGTGATCTACCCACTTCAGCCCCCTAAAGTGCTGAGATTACAGGCGTGAGCCGCCACACCCGGCCGGAACTCACCATTTTATGGGGAAAGAGATGCATCACCAACAATGCCAGCACAGTGGAACTGGTGCAATGGCAAAGTGGAGGCCTCTGGCTCACATCTTACATGATACCCAACCACCCATCACGGCCCCAAAATATCCTAGTCTCCTGGAAAGCCTTCCCCACTCAGGACGGTTCTAGATTATTATTAAGGAAAGTTTCTCGGCTGGGTGCAGTGGCTCTGTCATCTTAGCACTTTGGGAGGCCAAGGCAGTCAGGAGTTCGAGACCAGCCTGGGCACCATGGTGATACTAAAAATACAAAAATTAGCCAGTCGTGGTGATGGGCGTCTGTAATGCTAGTTACTCGGGAGGCTGAGGCAAGGAGAATTGCTTGAACCTGGGATGTGAAGGTTGCAGTGAGCCGAGATTGCACCACTGCACTCCAGCCTGAGTGAAAGAGCGAGACTCCATCTCCAAAAAAAAAAGAAAAAAGAAAATATTCTCTATGGATGGGGAAGGGGAAGGAGAAAGGAACTACCTTTATCCTCTAGTGGTTTTCAAACTTTTGACCACGACCCATAATATTTACATTTTTCAGTTATGACCCAAGGTCTGCATATCTATTTATCGGAAACAAAAATATCATGAAAGAATACCTTAACTACTATGGTAAGTACTACTGTGAAGTATTTTTAGATTTTCTACTGTCATATATTAATTTAAAACATACTGGCCCTAACACATTCAACTGAGTTCGTACTCTACTAGTGGGCTGCATCCTGCATGTGAAAAACCCAGCTCTAGCCCAACTTGCTTGGCCCCTGGAAAACAAGGGGGTGGAGGGCAAGGAAACCTGGGAAGGCTAGAGGTGGTCAAGGTCACACATACTGTCAGAGGCTTTTTAATGGCCTCCTGGATCTCCATCCGCTTGCGAGCAATGGTCTGGTCCAGCTTCCGCTCAAAAGCCAAGAGATCCATGTATGCCTGAGACTCTGGGACAAGCTCCCGGATCTGGAGGAAGGTAGCAGAAGCTCATCAGCTTGCTTCAGCCAAAGCCTGGCTCTTTCCTCCCTTCCTCCTGCAGCCCAGGGTGGAGGGAGACGGATGCCCACCCCGAGGTGGCCACTGGGCAGGCCTCCCAGGTGTCCTCTTAACACTTACTCGCTGAGGTAGAACTTTATCTGCCATCTTCCTCCTCTTTAACCTGGGGAGTTCAGAAACCCATTTAAGAGATCAATGGTCCAAAAAAGGACACTCACCCCCGCAACGCCCCTCCAGTCTCCAAGACCCTCTCCCCCAGGAGAGCCTGGAATATTCCTCAGACACCAAAGCTCTTAAGATAGAAGGAAACCCTCTGCTACCACCAGAGATGAGTTAGGCAGAGTGGAAGCAGCAGGATGCTCTTACCCCCGGCGCTGGGCAGGCATGGGAGGCTGCGCCTGGGGCACAAGCAGGCGTTTTCGGAATGGATCCATCATGGTGGGTGGCATGCCAGGTCGAAGCGGAGCTGCTGCACCAAATGGGGAGCCAGCAGGGGGTCCCACCTGCAAGCCGGCCATGGGCATCCGGTTCCCTGGTGACATGCCAGGTCGCTGGGGGAAGTGAGCCAATGGGGGTGCATAGGTCAGGGGCAGGGCCCTCCGGGGCCCATAGCCTATGCCTTCCATCCCTCTCGTCAGCCAGGTTGGGCCTGAGCAGCACGCCAGAGCCCTGCTGGAGCCCCAGGAACAAAGGGGAGCGGGCGCCTGAGCGAAGAGTGTAAACCACACCTGCCCCGCCCCCTGCAACCGCCCTGGCAGCCATGCCAGCGAATGAGGTCTGCCAGAGCCTGGGCTGGGAGGAGGGTCCTGCCTGCCGAGGGAAGGGCCTGCAGGAGCCCCAGCCAGTCCCTATTCTCTCAGACAGTCCTGCCAAGCCTTGTCCTCCTCTTTCCCCCATCATGAGGGAGAAGCATGGCTGAGAGGCATGGGGGCAGTGTCACTGCCAGGCAGAGGGGTATACTATATCATGAGCAGGCCAATGGTGCAGAGCCCCAATCCCCATCCTCTGTGGCCGAGGGAGAAAGGGGTCTGGTAGGCAGCAGCACCCCAGGTGAGCAGGGCTACAACAGGATGACTTGGAACGCGTACCAGCTGGTGAGGGTGGCCTCGGACAGGGTACCGGGACCCTGTACCCTGTAGTCTGGTACCATATAGTCCCTACCCACAGCCCAGAACTGGCCCCTCCTCTCACCTCCTTACTGCCCAACTACTGCCCCTATGCCAGAAGACCCCAGAAGGGAAGCCATGGCTCCTGGGTGGCCTGTGGGAAAGACAGCAGTTGGCACCTGGACTCTGCCCGTGGTCCAGGCACCACCTGGCAGCCAGGACTGGCTCTGGCTCCGTGTAGCCCTGGCAATCCCAAGCTGAAGAAGGGGGCTAAGATTATCCTGGGAGGCAAGGATCAGAGGCCTAGGCTGAGCAGCAGGAAAGTGGAAGACAGAAATAACTTCTTTAGATGCCTGCAGAAGGATTTCCCACTTGAAGCCTTGCTCCCCGACATTTCTGTGGAGCCCATCTGGGAGTCACCTCCACCCCCACCCCCCTCCCCATGGCTGCTGCCTGCAAGGCCTGTTTGGCAGCTCTGCCTCGCACACACTGTCCCTGGCAGCTTCACAGGGCTGGCCCCAGGGCCCAGATTATGCAACGAGCACAACCAGCCAACCAAGCCCAGCAGGGTGGAGACTTGTACCAAATCAAAGGACCCTCCCCCACTCCAGCATCATGGAGATGAGATTCTTCCCCAACCTCTTCATCCTGCACTAAACCCATGTTCCCAAAACAGAGGGTCAGATTCTTGACCAGATGCAGAGATGGAAAGAAACATGACCCACAGACGTGAGGATGGGGAGAGGAGGAGCAGGGTGGGAGGGAGGTGTTTGGGAGAATAAAAACCTCAAAGTGGGGGGCTCTGGGGCTTTGGGAGTCCTGCCAAAGTCTCTCTCCATCAGGAAGAGATTAATCAGAGCTGTTGAAAGACAAAAGACAACCTCTTTCTCTGCCTTAAGGATTGTTCTTTCTCTGGCCTGAGATTATAGAAAAAAACTGAGTGTGACTACAGCTGTAAGCCCAGGCCCAGACATCCCAGACTTTAGTTTTTCCTAGTGCCTGAGACAAAGGGAAGAACTGAAGCACTGGGTCCTGCAGAGTGTGAGCGAGGGCCCTATGGTCCCCAGGAAGCTTCCCGCTGCAGCGTTCACAGAACCTGCAGCACCACCCATCCCTCCTGGGCAGGTGCTCTGGTAACAGGAAGTCCTAAGACAAGGCCGCACAGGGCCTGGAATAGGCTCCACCCAGACATCTGCTCCAGGCTTCCCGGGCCCAGAGCCCCCAGCTCACTCAGGACCCCAGGGGAAGGCTGCTAACAGTTCAAATTCCAGCTGAGCTTTGCTAAGCTCCATACCTGGGCTTATAGGTGCTAGCAACTCCTCTCCCTTCAAAAAACAAAAAACAAAAACAACTCAGGAGTTAGGAAAAACAAACAAAAAACAGTCCAGAACTCTGAGCCTCCCTAACTCCCTGCTTGCGACAGGATCAGGTAGGCCTGGATCAATCCCCTGAACCCCAGATGAGGAATCCAGGGCTCCAGTGAGCATGCTTTGCCCTGCCCCAAATGTGGCCCTGATGCTCTGGAACCTGGGCCTGAGGGCCTCAGTTGGGGAACATACCACCACTCTCCCATGAGTAAAAAGGATTTTGAGGCAGGGCGCGGTGGCTCACACCTATAATTTTGAGGCAGGTGGATCACAAGGTCAGGAGTTCAAGACCATCCTGGCTAAGATGGTGAAACCCTGTGTCTACTGAAAACACAAAAAAAATTAGCTGGGCATGGTGGCAGGCGCCTGTAATCCCAGCTACTCAGGAGGCTGAGGCAGAGAATTGCTTGAACCTGGGAGGCGGAGGTTGCAGTGAGCTGATATCATTGCACTCCAGCACTGGGCGACAGAGTGAGACTCCGTCTCAAAAAAAAAAAAAAGATTTTGAACTTTTTGAACACTCTGGAGTGAACCCAGAAATCTGAGGTTTTTGTTATTTTGTTGCCCAGGCTGGAGTGCAGTGGCAGGATCATAGCTCAATGCAGCCTTGAACTCCTGGACTCAGGCAATCCTCCTGCCACAGCATCCCGACTAGCTGGGACCATAAGCGCACACCACCAAGTCTGGCTAAATTTTTTTGGTTTTTTTTTTTTTTTGAGAAATGATGGTCTCACTATGTTGCCTAGGCTGGTCTTGAACTCCTGGTCTCAAGTAATCCTTCTGTCTGGGCCTCCCAAAGTGCTAGGATTATAGGTGTGAGCCACCACATCCTGCCCTGGAGGGTTTTTTGTTGTTGTTTTTGTTTTAGGTTCCTCTGTTAACTGTGATCCACAGCCAGAACCACCCTCTGGAGGAAGGGAGGTCATCACTTCCCTTCTTTCAACTATTTGTTCAGCTTGGGCCTCAAATTCTCGCTTTTCCAGCACATCTCATGAGCCCTAACAGACAGGAACCCCTCTGTTTCCCAGATCTCAAGTCCCTTCTCCTGGAAGTCATACAACTGGACTTGGAAAGAGGGCAAGTAGGATCCTCTTCAAACTCAGCCAGTTAGCTGGCTGAGTTCTCTGTACCATCTACCTCTCCTGCCAGGAGGAGGAAAGCTAGTGGGATGGGAAACCCAGACTCAGGGCCATCTCCTACTTCCCCACAGCTAGCAGCCCAGGCCTAACCAGCCAGCCAGCTTGGCCTTGCCACAGGCCCAAGGCCACCCCCTACCAAACGTGGAATCCATTCTCTTAGGGGCTGTCTCAAGGGCACATTTCCTATGACTTTTTGCATGCCAAGGAAACTGGAGCGGCTTGTCTGTTCCAGGTCCTTCCAAGGCCAAAGGCCCACAGATGGTGCCCAGGCCAGGTCTCAGTGGGCAGGCCCAAGGGCTACAATGACTGATGCAGGGAGCCCTCAGCAACACCCTGGGCCCATGAATCCCCAAGGGGGAGAGTAGGGTGGGAAAGATGAGCCCCAGCTGGAGTCCCTGGGACCAGGTCTGTCTCTGCCCATATCCTGACTCTGTTTTCTCTTGAGAAAGGAGGAAGAATGAGGAGTAAGAAGGAAAAAAAATCCAGTCACTGTCCCTAGTTAAGCCATCTCCTTAGATGTGAGGCCCAGTGGGGCAGGTAGGCTGTGTATACTCCACAAGGATCCCTAAGGACCTCCGCCTGGAGACATGAGTCGAAAACAGAGGAAGCCTACAGCAGACCCTGGGAGATGAGCAAGAAGCCAGTGTCAAATGCTGGGGCATATGGCTTCGGATGTGGTGGAGTTAGAACCTGAAGACCAAATAAAAATGCAGAGAGGATAGGAAGGCAGATGGGCACAGTTTCCAAGCCTGCTGGTGCAACCTGAACAGCAGACTAGGGGACCAGCAGGGTCAGGCTGAGGTCCTCACACACTGAGCAGAAGTCGCTGCCTTGCAAGGGCTTTTGAAGCTGAAACCTGAGCAGCTCTCAAAACCCCAAAAGGGTCAGGACAGCACTCTTTGAAGCAACTCTCGCAGACTCCTCGGGCCCCAGACCAGCAGGGTTCCACTCTGCACGTCCAGACTAATCAACTACCCGACACGATGACAGGAGGCAGAAAGCCCAGAAGAGAGCCGGCCTGTGACTAGGCTGGGCCTCCCCTCAAGCCTGGCCACCACCGTCTCTGGTCTAAGCTGGAGTCCTCCCCAGCGAAGGCGCCGGGCCCTGCCTCCGGAGTAAAGTCCGCCCGTGCACAAGCTGGAATCCCCTGGCCCTAGCCTCAGCGTCCCGTGCCCGTGGGAAGCCAGGCTCCTTCTTCCTCATTAGCAGCCGGGAGCCATCTCAGACACGCTAGAGCTCGGCCAGTTCCCAACCAGAAAAAACAGGGCAGACTTGGAGTGGGACCAAGGCCGATGCAGGGTAACCCCGGTTTCTCAGCGAGGGCCCTTTCCCAAACTTTCTCATCACTTTCCAGCCCTCCTACCCTAGACTTCTCAACCCACCCGCCCACAATTCACTGGTTCCCCAAACTCCTCCATCTCCCAGTCACTCGGAATCCCTGTGCCGCGGAAGCCCCCAGGCCTCCCAGCTGGTTCCAGCCCTCCGCTGCAGGACTCGCTCCCCCTTTCCCACTCCTCCACCGCCACCCGCCGCAGCCCGAGGGTCCTGGCCCGCCCTCCACCGTTTCCCGGAGTTCCTCATGCATTCCCCAGGGCCCTCACTCGAGGCCCCCTCAGCCCCCGGCCCGGGCGCCCTGGCGGCGCCGCACGCCCCCGTCCGCTCGCGTCCTCCCTACTCACCTGGTACTGCGCCGCGGGGCCCGCGGGGCCCATGGGGCGGAAGGCGGCGGCCCCGGGGCCCCCCACGCCTCCAGCCGGACCCGGTCCCCGGAGCGTCGGTCCGGGCAGCATGCCGGGTCCGGCGGGGGGAGGAGGCGCTCCCAGGGCCGCGGCCACGGCGCCGCCGCCAGGGCTCAGCGGGGGCAGCGGGAACCCGCCCGCGCCTCGGCCCGACATCGCTCCGTCCCGTCCCGCGGTGCCGCGATCCGGACTCCGGGCTACGCGTCGAGTCCACTCCGCGCTCTGTATTCCGCGATCCGGGACTTGGCGATCTTAATTCCGGGTTCCAGGATTTGTCAATCCGGGCTCCGGGATTTCCTAATCCAAGTTCGCGAGTTCCTCACAGACCCGGTTCGGGACAGATTCCGCTCCTGCGCGGGAGATTCCGGATCCAGGATCTGCTGCGGCCCCGCCTGCCGCCCCTGGCCTCCGGAGGTTTGGCCGCCCGAGTCGAGTTACCCAGAGGCGGCTACGATCTCCCTGCCCCGCCCAACCCAGCCCAGCACTAGGCCCCGCCTCTACCTGGTGCCCAATGCTCGAGTGCCTCCTTGAATCCCGCCCCTCGCGAGACCCGCCCCCAGCAGGCACCGCCCCTAACCGCCGACTTCAGAGCCCCACCCCCACCTTTGGCCCCGCCCCTCGTCGGAGGGGCGGGAGCGGAAGCTGCGCGCGGAAGCGCCGAGTGAGGCGCGGGGTCAGAGGTCTAAGGTCACGTTGAGGCTTCAGAGTGAATGAGCAGTTGCTACTACTCTTTCCCGGTGTAGCAGCCTCACCGAAAATAGTTTTGTCAAGTCTCCTTTCTGCATCTTCCACATTAAAGACTCAACTCAGAGTCGGTAGCGGTGGCTCACGCCTGTAATCCCAGCACTTTGGGAGGTTGAGGCGGGTGGATCACCTGAGGTCAGAAGTTCGCGACCAGCCTGGCCAACATGGTGAAAACCCCGTCTCTACTAAAAATACAAAAATTAGCCGAGAGTGGTGGCTGGCGCCTGTAATCCCAGCTACTCGGGAGGCTGAGACAGGAGAATCGCTTGAACCCGGGAGACAGAGGTTGCAATGAGCCGAGATCTCCCCACTCCACTCCAACCTGGGCGGCAAGAGTGAAACTCCTCAAAAAAAGAAAATAGACTCAGCTGTTCTCTGGGGCAGAACAGCAGCCAACTCAACTTCCTGTAAAAGCTCATCCTGGTAGCTCGGAACTGCCAAGGGACCTAGGAGGCTCCAGACTTGACCCAGCTGGTGAACGGTCGACTTGGCTAAGGCTGAGTTCTTACAGCACATTTTTAACGTGGCTCTGCCTCACTATAAGGAAGCCTGGTACTTTACTCCCCAGCAAATGCTTCTAGTCAAAAGAAATTTGGCTTATGAGAAACCTCCCCGCAGTTTAAAAAGAGGTCTTTCTCTAGTATTTATAGCACTTAATTTTCAAAAATGCAGTATCTTTTCAGATACACTGTGCTGTATCAAAGTATTCAAAAATGCTTCAGCTGTTCCAGGGAGCCTACCCTCTGATGGTCTGGGTCTCCTCACCGTGATACGGACCAGTGCTGCTTAAACCCTAATAAGCACATAAAAAACACCCAAGGCTCTTATTAAAAATGCAGATTGTGGCAGGGCACAGGACTCTGCATTTCTAACAAGCTGCCAGCGATGCTGTTGCTTCTCAGACCATACTGTCAAGAAGCCAGGATCTAGACTTTTTTTTTTTCTTTACTATAATTGCTTTATTTTTTCAGCCCCAACCAAGTAATGCTTCCTTTCTTGCATCATAGCACCCCAGATATTTTTTATAGTTTTCCAACGCTTTTTAGAAATTAGTTCTCCTCCTGTCTCTAGCGATAAACCCCACTGCTGCTGCTTTCTTACCTCCTGGACTTCTCAGAGATACCACTCTATTGCCCCAAGAGTTGATAACCTGTCAGTCTGGGGACTGGTCACTGGAATTGTTAAAGTCACTGAATCATGGCCCCTCCCATCCCTGTAAAGTGGGTTAAGAGTTCATGATAAGGCAACTAATATACATTTCAATCCTTTTTAAGCTTCTAGAACAATAGTAATTCTCAAAGTGATAGGGGCAGTGGAGAATCAGAGTCCTCTGGGAAGCTACTCCAAAATATCTCCACCAGCCACCCCTCCAATCCAGTGGCTCTCAGTATTGTATTTGAAAAATAAGCTTCCCAGGTAGTTCTGGTGTGACCCATTTTACAGAGTGGGTTGTATCAGAAAACAAGCTTTTTCCACCCTAGAAAAGGGGCAAGCTAATAAGTGCATTTAAAAGCAGATCAGCTGGGCGGAGTGGCTTACACCTGTAATCCCAGCACTTTGAGGGGGCAAGGTGGGTGGATCACTTGAGGTCAGGAGTTTGAGACCAGTCTGGCCAAGAT